AGTTTAGAGTACATATGCAGTTAATGTTAGCTTGATTGCTCAGCTTGACATTCTAAAGTTCAAGATATGGATCATCAAGGACAAAGACGAAGATACAAGAAGATGTGGTCGCAACTTTAAAACACATAGTTAATTGTTGTATGAGGCAAGCATTTAGAAATAACGTACTTGAATATCAATGGATTAAGGTTTATAATATTTATAGTAGATGAGACTCGTCGATCTCATCCAATTCTTACAACATTTTTTCGTTCGTTCATTACACTATTGTTATACTAACAAACAAATGTCAATTTAATCTCGTTATTAGTTAGTATCATGTCTAATAATATTTATTGTATTTGATTTATTCGGAATTTCTTATAATTACGTATAGTTACTTGTAAGTTACTTGAAATGCTGAGTTTTGAAAATAATTCCGATGAATTTTAACAATATTTTGTATCACATAGAATCGTGTGATTAGTTTTATCATTGTGAAGAAATCACGAGTAATAATAATATACATCCTAATAATGTAATTTGTTATAATGTTGTTAAATTGAAAATTTTTAAATATTTATGCGATCTAGAAAATTTTAATATAATAAAATCAAGAATACATAAATACATGGCATGCCATAATCTAATACAAAGTTTAAATAAATTATAATTTATATGAAACAAATAAGATTGATATTGAGAACCGAGAAATATATAGACGCCGTTTTAACGAAAACGGGAGGATTGATTTTTTATTATTCTCGAAGTACTTAATACAAATAATATAATGATTACTTTAAGAAGCATACAATAGTATATTTTTACATAAGACATTAATTACATAAATGATCAATGCAATATTTTATAAAAAGAAATTGTAAATAAAATAAATATCTTGATGTCAAGGTCATATTTCCCAAGAATTGTGAAACATGACATATTTTGAAATAGTAACAAGTAATTTGAATAAACGCAAATTTATCCAACTTACTGCTAATATAAAATTATAATTATTAATCGTACAGATATTGTTTACTCTTGATTTATTTGTAATCAATTGTTAAACGTTAATTAATTATGTAATAATCATTGAATCAATCTTTAAAAAACTAACTTTACACTATTTTACATTGAAACCAATTTACTACTGAAGTTTGCTTATTAAATTTCGAAAAATAGAAGAAAATTATAATGAATTTTAAATAATAAAATTTTCGACTACAATTTTTAGATATTTTTTTCATTTTGCTAATTAACAGAGGTAAATTAATTTTTCAAGTGAAATACAAAAAATGTATCGCAAAATAAGAATACTGCTATTTGATTTGGTGGCATGATATAATTTACTTCGATTAATTATGAACAATACGACATATAATAGATGAACTAAGAAAACATAATGCGATCAATTTTATTAATAGTTTGTTGATAAATCTCATGTTCACAATTAAAACTCTATGAGAGATTGGTTTTCTCTCTTTCTTCTAAACATTATTCAATTCATCTCTCTCTCTCTCTCTCTCTTTCTTGTTCACACGCAACTATTTACACATCGCTTGCTAAAATAGCGAGAAAATTGCAAGCTAACCGAGTACCGAGTAGACGAAAGAAGATGTATTTTTGATTAATTTAATTTAATACTAAAATAATATCGATAAGATAATTAATTTGTATTAATAGATTGGATTCAATTCATATTACTAATTATTTCTCCTGGATTATTTAAAATCGCTAAAAATACAAATATTTATTTAAGTAATTAAATCATAGAAAAATAACAAGTAACGTCACAGAATAGCGACTGAAGCTAAAATCTTCTAAATAATTAAATCTTTGTTACATTACGTTACTTTTCGTTTAAATTGAACGTATAATTATAGTTGTAGAAATAAGTATGAATTCTTATATAATAATTGGTCAAACGAGCAAGACTAAAAGATTTGTTATTTATTTAACGTGAATGTTTGATTAGATGTATATATATATATATTTTTTTTTTTGTTCATAATTTTTAGAAATAATTATAGTTTGATTTGTATTTTACTAACAAGATGATCAAGTATTAGTTTCTTTTCATTATACAATTTATATAAGTAAAATCATTTAAAATATATTATTAATTAACAATGTGTTTTTTTCTCTATTAATCCTAATAATCATTTTATGATATTTCATTATCCTATCATGCACAATTGTACGTATAAAATAGTATAACTTCTAGTTGCAATATAAGAGCAAAATAATTATTTCAGTAGATACGTAAGAGGGTGTAATTATATGATTATATAAGGACATATATTGTGCTTAAAAAAAAAAAAATGAAAAAAAAAACATGTTTAAAAAATAGTACAAATAGCATATGAGTAAAAACTTTGGCGGACAGAGAATTATTAATTTATCCTTAAATAGATAAATCTGATGTAAACGTTGAATAATTAGCCTGGGATTACATATTACGACCTTCGTTGGTAATCAGCCGTGAGCATCGACGTTGGCAATCATGGACTTTACAAGTAAAAAGTTTTATGTTTTATTATCCATCATTACACGTACGTGTATTTTCGTTGAGCTTTCAAGGTGGATAATATAGAAAATCATGTTAGAAAAAGAATCGGTGGTATAATAAAAAAACTACATATAAATTGCAATTTACGTGTAATTAATATCAGCTAGGTAGTGAAGTTTTATCTATAGGACGAATACTCGAGAAGACGGACCACTGGTTTTAAATCACTTAATTTGACGACGTAGAAAATTCACGATTCCGGGTTACTTTGGAATTCCGTAGCTCCGATCAGCTATCAACATTTCCCTCGCACTGGACAACAAGAGTGTCTCGCGTCACGTAATCGTGCCACATAATCGCCGGATGGCTATCGGTTGCATCCTTATCAACCGAGCTCCATTACGTCGAGGAATTCTTCGGGCGGAAAAACATGTACGCGATCCAGTAGTGCTCGGGCGATTTAGCGGCTTGGGTGGACAATACAGTTGCACTCGCGCCTCCCGAGGACGATAACGGACGAAAGATATAATCGCGGTGCATCGCAGGTGCGTTGTTAGTGTCTCGGTAAAGCAGCGTGGCTCCCCTCGTTTTGGACGATTGCGCAATGTCGATCGGTAATGCCGTTCGTCGACTTTTTAGGCGGATTACCGGATTATTTTTGGTTAACGATACGACCCCGCGTGCTCGCTCGCTCGCTCATACTTTCTTGAAAATGTCATACGAATGCGCACGAGGCATTGCCGACGATTTATCATTGGCAATGGCCATCGGGTTTACGTTGTCGCGATTAAATAATCGGTCTTATCGATAACGAAATTGAGAGTGTTTTGAATTTTTATCTCTCTCTTTCTCTCTCTCTCTCTCTCTCTCTCTCTCTCTCTTTGTTTTTTTGTTTTTCAAAGCCTGGCCAAAGCGACCTATTATCAAGATTTCGGATATTATAAGAGATTTTGGAGAGATCTTGGCGTTCGTAATGTCAAAGTGCGATAATGTTGCAAAGCTCTTAACCGAGATGATTTTTTTCAATTTTCCACCCATCATTGACAAATCATAATTCCAAAGGATAATAAAGTAAGTTGGCATTGCGATGTACGGAATATGGTCCATCGAATCTCATCGAATGCAATTTGTAAATTAATCTTTGGCTTTCCAAGTTAAATTTTTTCGTTTCGCGAATTACGAAAATATCAATGTCATCCATAAAATCTACGGCCAACAGGAGAAAATGCCTCGGTGTCTCATTATCATCGCCTACCCCTTCTACCCCAACCCTGATTACCGTCATTTATTGCACAGCGATGTTTGTCACCCCCCCCCCCCCCCCCCCCCCCCCCCCCCCCCCCCCCCAACAATTTTACCTTCCCAAATGCACGCAAGTAATTGCTCTCATCAGCAATTTCGTTTGAATTCCTACTCTACGTTAAGCCTCGTAGCGTATTAATAGGATGTGTATATCATGCGACTTCCTTATCTCTCGGCCCACGACGTTTCACCACGTGCACGTAGGCGGCGGACGGACCGGCCATTAGGCGCAGCCACCGCCACGGCCCCTCCCGCCTTTCTCGTTTAAACAATAAAATTTAATAATCGCGCCTCATAAGAGCCCTTGCACAGTAATGTGGCGAAGGGTGGGAGGGGGATCGGGCAAACACAAACCACAGGCATTCGGCGATCGCGTCGGCGAATCCGCAATTGGATGCTGCGTGCTACTCGCTAACGACGATCCGCGGCTCTACACGGAA